TAGTCCCTGAACTTGAAGCTCCTACGTCCTCCCGGAAAAGTGCTCATAATCTCTAGCCAGCTCCCTCATCATGTCTTGGTCCAAGAAAGTTATTCGTTGATTTGGGTACGCTGAAGGCTTACGCATCAACCTTTTGCGGAACATAGCCATCGCAGCACCCATATGCTACATTAAAATGAAAACCGATTAGAATCAATAAAAACCTGAAACGATTAAACTAAACTCTTAATCTTAGATGACTTACATAATCTTTCAACCATCCATATGTTTCGTATAGCCACTCTGCTCTTGGAGTGATAATTTGCCTATAGAATCTCATATCTCCATTAGTAGTGTTAAGAAAGTCTTCCCTGAAAATCAAAACATAAGAGTGATTACAATGACAAAAGATGGCTTTATGATATTGGAAGATAAATTAATTGTCCAGTCTTACTCGTCATCTGTCTCTAGGAAATCAAACAGTTGATGAATTTTCTCGTCAGAAACATGCATCATGTGATTAGGTATCGAGGAAGAAGGTTCTCCATCCGTAATGATGCGCTTCACTGTAGAGTTACCAAGAAAAGGGTACTTTTGAGAGCCAGCCAACTGTGGCACTCTTTTTCCCACAGTAACACCCTCATCTAGATCCTTTAACTTCTCTACCATTACTGTCAATGTTGCATCAAGTTCCTTATTAGCTTTCTGCAGTCCAGGATCCGAGTATGTGTCTTCAGAACTTGAAACCATTTTCAGAGCTTCTTCTTCAACTTTGTCAGTGATATCTACAACATCGTCTTCTTGGGTAGTAGATTTCTTCTTCATCTTATTACCAGCCTTAGAACCGTCTTTCTTAACAGCCTCTTTCTTCACAACAGCCTTCAAACACTGGTTCTTAGCAGCTTTTTCTTTGACTGCAGCTTTAACCGGAGGCTTTGCGACTCCTCTCTTGGCAGCCTTTGTAGCTTCTTCTTTCAGCGGAGCCTTTTCAGACTTTTTCCTCTCAGCCTTTGAACCATCTTTCTTTTCAATTAGGAGAAGATCTCCAGATGTTTCACCTTCTTTCTTTACTTTCTTCTGAACAGTATAAGTTTTCTTCACCACTCTTTGAACAGGCAAACCATCCACTGAAGATGGCTTCTCCTCTACTTTCCAAGACTGCAAAAAAAAAATAAACGTTATCAAAACAGTATTTTCATTCACCATTTTGCTTAATAAGATCAACAACTTTAAAACTCACCAAACTATAACTTGCAGGAGATTTACTCGATGCACCTTCATCTTCATTGTTGATGGAATTGGCGACTTGGGCAGTAGGTATTGAAGCTGGTTTTGCTTGTTTCAGTTCCTTCAAATCAGTCTCAACTGCTACAATTTGTGAGTCAAAGGTATTCTCCAAGTCATCGATCCTACTACTCAGATTCTTACCCATGTCTACAATACTCCCATTCATTTTTTCCATCATCAATAAAATATCAGAGAAGCCTTTCTTGTCATCCTTGTCAACCTACAATCAGTAAGATATTCAGATTTAAAAAAAAAAAGTTGAAGCACAATAAGTACATTACTATAAAACACAACTAATCAGGAATAGGCATGAAAACATAACCTGTATATCTTCTGAGACTATCTTCTCGTCTTCTTTTTGAATTTTGACTCTTTCTTCGCCAGAAAATTCAGCTTTTTTGATCTTTTTCCCCTTCTGTGTGCTACTACCTTCATCAACAGTAGCTTTTACTTTGCGTTTCTTCTTAGACACACCAAAAGCTGGCACACCTTTCCAAGCATCTAAAGCCAATCGATTATGGATGATGTCTTTTATCAAGTTGTCTAGTGCTGGATCCTTATCCTCCTCCGCATTACTCCATTGAGGGTACATGTTTTCTTCAGTTACAGGAATCATGTGTCTTACACGCACCTATATACAACATACAAAATGTTAAATAAAACAGCACCACCAATGAAATAACAACTGCAGCTTAAATTAATAGGTTAGTGTTGCCATGACACTTAAAACAAAATAAGACTGCACCTTAAGTTTGTGTACAACAGTCATAAAACTTCAATAAAATCATATTCTAAATTTCACATAATAGAGAAAGTACATGAAAAAGACATAAAGAAGTTATTGCTTTGATACATAAAGACACAACATTTAAAAGATCAAAAACTAACCTGCCCATGCAGCTTCTTCTCGTTTTTAATGAATTATGTTAGGTCGATATCCTTCCGAGTTGACTGCCAATCAAGAAGTGGAATACCAGTCAAGATAGGCCTTCTCAACCCATAACCCTCTCCTAATCCAGGGAAACTCTCATACACCCACATAAGCAAAGCGTGAACGCATCCTTTAATAACATAACCATCTTTGTTAAAGTCAACTGTCTTAACCGATTTAAGTAGACATTCAAAAGCCACTCGTCCCCACGGATATTTCTCAAAACTCACTGGATCAAGAACTCTTATAGCACTAGACAAAGGAAATCTAGATCCGTGGTGCACTCCATGTATTGCCACTGATAATAAACACAACCTACCCACCATCATCCTCTCCTTTAAGTCCCATGCCTTGCTAAGATCCATCACAGTTCGCAACTCATTGAACTTTGGACCTTCTGAGATTGGTACTTTCATTGCCTCCCATAGCTCACGGTGATCAGCTTCAAACTTTTCCGACGGGTCAAATGGATCGCAATTCAGTCCTGTTATAGCAGCAAACTCATTTAAGGAGAACCGGACTGGTCTACCATCAATCATAGACCATATCTCATGAAAGTTATCCACTTTCAACTGATTTGTGAGGAATAGATGTACTTTCTTGGCAGCCCATGTGTACTCTAGTTCAGCTAGCTTGATAAACACACCTAGTGATGATTTCTCCAATCCATCCCACACATCAATACCTAATCCTTCTCTGATTTGACCAATCTTGGACAGATAACAATTGTGGTTCATGCTTCTATGTTGCAAAGGTGATTTTCCTTCTGCATATAGACGAGGAGGATATTTGAAGACATTACTCGAAGACGCCATTCCTGAAGATTAGCAAAATAATAAATCAGCATATAAGAGGATTAATACAATCAGCTAATAAACAATTTAAAACAAATCTGATGCAAAAAAAATTAATACCAAAAGAGAATAAAGTGTTAAAACCTGTTTCAGATTCGGGATCCTATTTAGCAACTCAGCCCTTATTCATTCAATTCCTACAGAAAAAAAGAAATCAAGAGTAATTTATTCATATTAGAGGTTCCCTTAGATGAACAAAGCAAGCAAAAACACAAGTAGTGCAGATAAAGACATATTAATAAACATAATAACAACAGACAAGGCTTCTCCAATAGAGTATTTACAATTAACTAGTAAAGATCACCAGCCTAGAAGTCTCAAACAACAAAGCAACTAATATTTCCTACAACAAGCAAACATAGATGAACCAACCCTCCTCTCAGCTTTAAGAGATCCAAGAATCACGTCAGTTTTTATAAACCAAAACACGTTAGATACTAATGGGAAATAAGTGCAACAACAAATGAGTAACCAATCAAAACTGCAATTCACAGTCCAAATTTAAACCCTAAAAATCAGATTAGACTCACCGATGTACGCTTGAGAACAAAGTTGTCGCCAATGGAGGAAGAACATCAACAGTGATGCGAAGGGAGCCCAGATTACACAGAACCACAGATACTAAAGAGGCAGTGGCTGACGAAATTGAGGAAATTGGTGACTCGCAGGAGAAGAAGTCGTGACGAAGAAACAGTAGAATAAAAGAACCGCTGAATAATCGGAGAAGTCAAGCGCGACCACAACAATTGGCGGCTGCGTCTGTGGCTGTTCTCCTCGAATCTGCAGTGGAGCTATCCCTGTTCGCGGCGGCGTCTATGAGAGTGGCGGTGAAGGAATACGTGAAGTGAGGATTCTTCTCTTCGTTGGAGTCGGCGAAGACAATTGGCGGCAGATTCTTCTCTTCGTCGGAGTCGGCGAAAACAAATTGCGCCGGATTTTTCCCTTCGTCGGAATCGGGAGAAACAAAGTTAGGGATTGTGTTTGTCGGGTGAAACAAAGAAAAAAAAGCTTAAGTCTACGATTAATATAAAATCAGGGTTAAAATGTTTTTCTGTTTTTTTTGTTTGTTGTTTGAGTTTTTTTTTTCCAAGACAAAAAAAATTTAAATGGGTTTTTGGTCATTTTACACAAAATTTGTGTTAGTCTAGTAAACTAGAAAATTAGAGTGTTAATCTAGTTATTAATCTCTAGATTTGTGTCAATCTGGGTAATTTTCAGTTTAATAAAAGCAAATAAGATTTCATTGATGTTTTTCTTTTTTCAATTATATGAAGTGGATTTTCGCTCTCATTGCAACCGGTGGAGATTGGTAACATTTTGTACGACAAGCTGCGCATTCTGATGCCGGCGATGAACGTTTACAATAGTCTCGACAAATCCCACTACATTTTATCTCTGATTTTGTTTCGCCTTCTATCACCATTACTCCTAGTATCATCATTATCAACGCCATGCTAATTACTTTTTCCATATTTCTACTTTAATTTTTCTTGTCCTTTTTATGTTTATGAATGACTTCCGATGAAAAGTCTCTATTTATAATTTCAAGACCGCGTTGACTGCACTGATTTTCAATTATTAGTAGTCAAAGTTTTATTTGTTTCCATTCTAGGACTCAATTGATAAGGTATTAATGTATTATATATTTTGTTTTCATATATGGCAAAATAATTAACAAAATACTTTTTAGATATTGACAAATTTAAATTAAAATATTCATTCAAATATTCAAATATTGTTTACCAATTTGAGCATGTAAATGAAAGCTTATGTTTTTATTAGTTGACTGCATAAAAAGAGATTGCTCTCTATAACAATCGATAAATTAATTTTGGCATAATCTCGCTTATATTTTAATGAATTAATGAATTTTGTAAAATGTTGGTTTTTAAATATTTTGTCAAATTTGAATGAAAAATCTGCATACAACTTTATGCATACAAATTTGAATCTGCATCATACACAAGTACATTTGCATTTATATGTTGCATCCGGGGCCGATATACTGTATGTAACTGATGTCGTGATAAATGTGAGGCTAAAACAAAAATATGTTTAATTATCTTTCTCTAGAGTTGGCATCAATAAAGTTAGGATCTATAGATTAGTATCATGTATTATGACTTGGTGGATGGCTCTTTTGACCTCAGCGATGCTTGCTTTCTTCCCTCTCACTTTCGCCCTTATCTCCGCCTCAAAATCTAGGTCGTTTACCGCGGTATGAACGGCAGTAGTCTCTATACCAAGCTCATGAAGAACCTGAAGAATGTCAAGCAACAAGCCATCTCGGTACTCGCATCTCATCTCTAACAAAACATCACTCTCTATGATGGAAACCTCCACCTCCTCCGATGTTTTTCTCTTACAAGTACGTGTCCGCTTATGTTGTTGCTCATGATGAGTACTCTCAAGCTCATGGACCCTCTTTCGAAGATGATTTACGTATGCAATGGTGTCTCCAAGGATTGATACTTTATCCATCTTGGTCACAAATGGAACCATTGATCTCAAAGTTATGAATTTCTCGTTAAGCTTCTCTCTCCTGCGTCGCTCTGCCACTACGTGGTTCAGCTCTTCCCGCGGTAGCCTCTTATCTTTAGTGTTGTCATGGAGGAAAGGAACTCTCAAGATCATGTGTTTAAGCATCCATTGCGAAGACGAAGCCGCTTTCTCCACTCGCTGATGGTCTTTGACATTCTCAACTCTCCACGTGGCAAACGATGATTGGACGTAAGAAGATGTGGAAACTGAATCTGAAAGAAGACTCGTGGGATGTGATATAAGAAGTGTTGTTACTGTCTGAGAATAGTTTCCACCTTCCTCCACTAGATTCATCATGTCCATGTGTGTGTCTATATACATACAAATGATAGTTATTTAGATATATAGCAAAAAAAAAAAAACCGCATAATATAAGTAGCTTAGTGTATATACCTAACGTGTGGGTTGATTCTATATGAAGATCAGAGTGTAGATTTTGATTGGAGACATCGTCATCGTCAGGAGAGCCAAGCCTCATCTCCTCTGACATTGTAATTTCTTCTTCTACTTCTTCTTCTTCAGCTTCTTCATGCACTTGGTAGGTGGAGTGTTCAGAAAGAGCCGGCTTTGGATTAGACTTGCAGTGGTCATGGAAGAAACTCTTTATGAGCTCAACAAACTCTACATCTTCTCTTACCTACACACACAAATATAACAAATCATGCATACATGGTCCATATATCTCCACCTTAATTATCCCTCCCATATTTTAACATTCTTTCTATCTAAAGAAAGATAGGATATATTCACTTTTTATTTTGTTTATATTTCATTAACAGGTTAATAAAAGAGAGAGATATTAAACGTTACCTTTTTCGTTGTTCCTAGTTCCACAACACCATCAAGCATGGGAATGCAAACCACAGTCTGTTTTTATTTATCATATACAATCCTCAATTATGTTTAAAAATTTAATAATACTATACATATCTACTAAAAAGGAGCTAACAAATAAAGACAACATTTACCTGAATTTTAGCACTCTAAGCATTGAAGAACCAACGTAAAAGGAGCATCCCAAAAAAAAGAAACAAAAAGAATTAACTTAGTATACATAAATAGGTAAATAAATAGATGCATAGTATTTATAGTGTATACATAAATAGGTAAAAATAAATAGATGCATAGAATAGTTGGTGAACGAATAAAATTATTTACCTTAGCAAGAATAGCCCTAGAAAAAGTTTTACTGTCAACTTCATTTGCACCACTTAGCCATACGTGCTTCCTCCTCGCATACGCTTTTCCTGGCATCCTACAAATTACTACTTCCCATATTTATATATGATTTTTTTTTTTTTTTTTACCACATAGAGGAAAGCATTAAGTATAGCCATAACTAACCCATTTTGTTATGCATTTATGTTATATCTATTCATGCTTCTACTTTAGATAATCAATCACCAAACAATGAGAATCTCAACGGTCCCAATAATGTTCATCAAAATGTAGTGTGTGTACGTTTCATTAACTCTCATTTCTTTCTTATTCTAGTAACTCAACTTCCTCAGTTTCTCTTTAATGTCAACACAATATTTTAGATATACGCATTTAACACACAATACTATTTTTGTCTTCACTAAGAGAAGAAAAAAGGAAAGAATAAATTTGGAACTTGAGTGTAGAGAGAGAGTTGTTTACCCAGAAGGAGGAGGGAAAGAGAAAGAGACACACATTAGATAAAACCATTCCGTCTCCGTTAAATCCTCCGGCGACAACGCGGTGCATGCCCTTGCTTCTGACGTTGACTCTCCGGCTAAAAGTGTCTCATAAAGCTCCCTCAGCTGTTGGCTCCTCTCTAAGGCAGCTTCTTCCGCGGTCACCTCCGCCGGTTGAGTTGTCTTCCTCGTCTTTATTGCACCGTTGTAGTATCCACTCGCCCACACCAATACCCTATATAAATGGTTCAACAATCTTACCAAAGTTGTAAAACCTTCAAAAAAAGAAAATTCCAAGATCGAATTCTAACACTAGGAACCAAACAATTAGCCTAATCCATTTAAACATTTTAAGTACTTTTTTTAGTTACATATATAATATATGAGGATATAGATACTATGGTTGTAACTTGTATTATGAGAGATGGATGAAATAGAAAAAAAAAAAAAAAAAAAACGGACCGTTGTTGAGGACAAAATTGCCAGAATACACTATAAGTCCACTCCACAAATTGAACCGCGGTCTTAAGCAGCCCTTGCAGCTCCCTTTTCTCAGCTCCGGCCACTTTCTCTGCCGGAATAATACTTGATTCATCCATCTTTTCCGGAGATACAAAACTTGGTAGCCCTCTCTCTCTAAAAATCTTATAACTTTGTAGGGTTGTTATGTATATAAGAAGAATTTACTCTCATACGCTATTTTGGTTTATGGTGAGTTAAAATGGTATGGGACCACGGATTTTGCAATATACATGGAAGTTATCATCAACATGTTGACATAAGTTAAGTAATATAATAACTTCCATGCATGACCAAAACTTAAGATGCATTAAAGTTGACTTTTGATTTTTGAATGGTTGGTTCACCAGACGTTGGATGAGAAAGTGAAATAATGAAAAGATCTATGTATATTGTTGACGTGTCGTAAACTAATTGGACAAATCAAAATGTAGAATGAATATTTCTTAATATGTTATATAATTTTTTTTTGTTTAGAAAGCAGAACATTTTGTAGTAGATAAAATAGCTAACTGACAAACTAGAAAAAACAGAACTTGCTTTGACTTGTCTTACTGCTGCAAGGAGCAAAGAAATAGCGTTTCATGTATATTTATATTATTTATAAAACTTATAGTAAAAATATGTATGGAATAAAATGTTCATTAACAATTTTAAGAAAGATGGAATTATTGGACGAACATACATATATATTTTCAAAAATGAAAAGATTAACTTAACAAAAGATGGGGAATGGTAGAATTGTTGACCTGACCGGTAAGTAAAGAATGAGAAAATGGTTTGGTGTAATAAAGGAGAAGAATAAGATGTTTGAAATTGAGTTATTAAATTATTGATGTTAATTGCTAGCAAAAGTAGCCACGATCGTTCCCCATTTAATAAAATCTTATTTCTAAAATATAGATAAGCTAAGATAAAATAGATACATACTGTTACGTACACATATAGTATAGTACATACGATTTTGGGTGTATGGTTAAGGGTAATGTACACCTGGTTAATTAGACAAAATCAACATTGAATGTTTCTTGGCTTTTTTGTCGACAAAATAAATGTTGCTTGGCTTTTGCTTCTGCTTCTGTGTTCCTTATTTTTTTTTCTTCTGAATTTAGTCTTTCACCAATTATGTAACTCTGACGGCCACGTGGAATGGTGTCTTTCTTGTTGGTTTTGCTTCTTACTCTTTTTTTCAAAACGTGTGTTATATATAACTTATATCTCTTATTGAAAATGATTCAAATAGCAGAAAAAAGAAATGAGAGATTGGTTATTCACAAGGACAATGCTTTAGTACAAAACCGAGAGATTGGTTAGTCACAAATGTTAACTAATTACCCAAGTTCTTCCATTCCATAAATGACAAATCATACCAATTTATAACAATCTGATCTTTGTTTTCTTTGAAAATGACATTAGCCGGAAGTGTTTTGGCTAGAATTATTTGTTGGAATACAAGTTACAACCACATGAGCTTTGGAAGAGGACCTCGGTTTTTATGATGAGAGTGAACTATTTAAAAGAGTGGATTACATAATTGTAGAAGAATAAGGGGTAATAATATAGTGTGATGCAAAATGGTTTAAAATTTGTTATGTGTGTTTTTTTTTTTGAAATGTAATAATTCGTGTGAATGAGATTTATTGTCTTTTGCTCAATATACTATAACCCGGTCCAAAGCGGTTGATTGAACCGATTAAATTCTGAAAGGTCATCATTAACTCATGATCTGACCGAATAGGCACTACAAGAAATCTACAATGTAAAGTCACTTAATTAACGACACTTTAGAAAATGACGTTAACTTGTTTCAAAAGAAGGGATTTAGAGTCGGTTACTAAACCAACGCAAATGTGATTCAAATTGGTGGGCTATTTTTATTACGGGTTCAAACTGGTGGGCTATTATTGTGTTTAAAGCCCAATTATAAATATATACAAATATAAAAAATATCCAAAAATTTTCAAAAATATCCAAATTTTTTCAAAAATATCCAAAATATTCAAAAATAACCGAAACTAGATCATGACCCACACGTACGTGCGGAGTTTCATATTTTAAAAAATATATTGTAATAAATTTTTAGTAAATATAGATTATTTTGTTGTTTTGGTGATATATATTGTAGTATATAAATTATAATGTAGCCAAAAAAGTGTAGAATGATATTTATGTTGTTTATAACACAATAACTAATGTTGTGAACCATATGTCAAATTTTGGAGTTTAAAACTGAAGAGTAGATTAAAAAAAATCTTAGATTAAAATATAATATAGGTTAGATTGATGTAAACAAATATATTTTATATGGTATTTATAACCCGAAATCATATCAGTTGGATATTTAGTTTAATTTTCAGTTTGGTTTTAATGTAGCTTATTAATATTAATATGGGAAATTGTTAAAAAATACCCTTTTTGGTGTGTCCATTTTAAAAAATGCCCCTTTTTAAATCTAAATTTTTTATAAAGTTTTATTAGGTTTATAAGGTACTTATGGATTGTAACTACTACTTGAAGACTCGATCCAAGTATTTATAAGGTTTTATAAGGTGTTTTAAAAGGTTTTACAAGTTATTTTAAAGAATTTTTAAGCTTTTTCAAAGGTTTTACAAGATATTTTAAAGGTTTTTAAAGGTATTTAAAATGCATTTATAAGGTATTTATAAAGTATTTATAAGATTTTAGATACATAGAAATGTAGTTTGTGTATATTTTAATAATATTACATACATATTTGGGTAAATCATATATTTTTAAGAGCATTTTTTATAAGGTTTTAAAAAAGGGGTATTTTTGAAAAATGGCATTGAAAAAGTGGCATTTTTTGCAAAAGCTCCTAATAATATTTGAATATTTAAAATAATAATGGTTTCAGTAGTATTTTAAAATTTGTAACAACTTAGCGGCCAGATCGGGATCAAATTGAAACAGATTAATGGTTAGTTAGATTTTTATTAAACTTGTGAACTATCAAACCGTATATAAAACCATTAAAAATGATTAAACAAATACAAATTTTAGAAGTTGGCGTAATTCTGTTTGGTTTCGCCATATTCCATTATATCCTATATATGTTCCCTAATTCATGTCGCATAAGCGAATACATTTATAATATGAGACAAAATTTTTAAATATAGATATTTTAAATTTAATTGATAAACTAGCTCCAGAATTTTTTAAAACGAATCTTAACAAAATCTTAAAATGAAGAGAGGGTTTAATGTGAATAAATTTTTGATAATCATTTTGAATTAATTGTAATTAATTTGTAAATCTTTTAATTAAAATTAATTTTTCTAAATCTTTTTTTGTATCAATATTTTGAGAACATTCAGATTTTAACATTGTTCTTGCGTATATATATATCTGTAGAAATATTTGTTATTGCGTATATATATCTGTAGAAAGATTTGTTATTGCGTATTTATTGTGTGTATATACTCCCTCTATTTCATAATATATGATGTTTTACATAAAAACACACACTTTAAGAATTTTTTTTTAAAAACTATTATTAATATTTAATTTAAGAAAATTCAACCAATGATATGAAAAACTGCAGAATATAAAAGGTCATAAAATATCAAACGTATTTAAAATTCCATACAAATTTGTAAAACATCATATATTTTGAAACAAAAAAAATCTTTAAAATATCCTATATTTTGTAACAGAGGAAGTATTTGTTAAGGAAGTATTTTAAAATCTAAATTACCCGTTTTTAAAAAGATATTTCAAAATTTATATCATTTAAATTCTAATTAGAATGTAAAATATTTTAATCTTTCTTCAAATTTAAAAAAACCAACGACATCCTATATAATATTCTACAACTAAAAGATTTTTTATTATCTAGTGATTCCAAATTAATAGTATAGATATCAGAAAATATCCAAAACAAAATACCTTAATGAATACTAAATTTTAAATCGAAAGAACTGGAACCGAACCTAAACCGAATCGAAGATTTAAAATATCCAAATAGATACTAAACTCTAGAACCGAAAGAATCGAAACCGAACCGAAACCGATTTGAATACCTGAACACCCATGGCTATTGATTTTTATTTTTTTTTTAGTTTTGTACGACTGGAAAAAAAAAACAGAGATAATTAGACAAAGAAATTAAATAAAAATGGTGAATAGTACCATGGCTTCACTCTCTCAGATCACTCACCAATCCAATTCAAATACTTAACCACCGAGCAATCTCGCCGGAAACAGAGCCTCTCTTCTTCTCCAGGTACTCCCTCGCCGGATTTTTATCCAATCAATCAACCACTGATGTTATCTTCTCCGATCTTTCCTCTAATTCCGATGAACAACAATCCCTCGTTTTTATTTCGATCTTCGAATCCAATTTGTGTGGAACTTTGATCTCTTACGCGACCAATCAAAATAACGATTCTCGCTTCGTCAATTTCTGTATAGAATGTGGTGATCGAAGAAGAACAATGGCTCCAGTGAAAAAATCTGATAAGAAAGCAACATTAGATGCTGCTGCTTGGATCTTCAATGTTGTTACTTCTGTTGGAATCATCATTGTTAATAAAGCTTTAATTTATGGCTTTAGCTTTGGTACTACCATTTATCATCTCACTACTACTTCACTCATATCTTCAAATCATTTCTTTAACATTTCGATTTCAATGCAGCAACAACCTTAACCGGTTTACATTTCGCTACGAAGACGTTGATGACACTTGTTTTAAGATGTTTAGGATATATTCAGCCTTCTCATCTTCCATTTACAGACCTTTTAAAGTTTATTTTGTTTGCGAATTTTTCGATTGTTGGAATGAATGTTAGTCGTATGTGGAACTCTGTTGGGTTTTATAAGGTAACTATGCTTGTTTTGGATAAAGAAATGCCTCTCTTGTTGATTCTAATGGTGTCTTTTTTGCTCTTTTTGGTTTTTAGATTGCCAAGCTTAGTATGATTCCCGTGTCATGCTTGTTGGAAGTTGTATATATTTGATAAGATTCGTTACTCGAGAGATACAAAACTTAGCATTGGACTTGTTCTTGTTGGTGTTGGTGTTTGTACTGTTACTGACGTTAGTGTTAACACCAAAGGTTTCGTTGCTGCTTTTGTTGCTGTGTGGAGTACTGCTTTGCAATAATATGTAAGTTTCTTTGAGATTTTGTAACATAACTTTCGTTATTGTGTTTCAACTTTAAACTAGATTTCACCAAGTTTTTCTTTTTTGTTGCAGTATGTACATTATCTACAGAGGAAGTACTCACTTAGCTCATTCAACCTACTGGGTCATACTGCTCCAGCCCAGGCTGCAACGTTGTTGATAGTCGGTCCATTTCTCGATTATTGGTTGACAGACAAACGGGTAGACATGTACGATTACAACTTTGTCTCTCTGGTAAGTGCTCCAAACACTCAGATCGTACTACACAATATCTCAGCTGCTCAAGTGACGTCTTAGAGAAAATTGTCCATTATGTCCTATACTTGACGTCATACTAAGCCTAGTACGATGACTATCGCCTTATTTTCGTTATGACCCTTTATCAAATGAGTCTAAACGAATTGGTCTTTGCATTTAATAACGTTGTGATGATTCTGTAGATGTTTATAACCCTTTTGTGCACAATAGCTATCGGGACAATTCTAAGCCAGTTCATCTGCATCGGGAGATTCACAGCGGTATCATTCCAAGTCCTGGGCCATATGAAGACGATCTTGGTGCTGGTAATGGGCTTCTTCTTCTTTGACAGAGATGGTCTTAACCTGCATGTGGTCCTTGGCATGATTATTGCAGTACTCGGGATGATCTGGTACGGTAATGCCTCGTCCAAGCCAGGCGGTAAAGAGAAGAAGAATTATTCTCTTCCAACGACCCGACAACAGAAACAGGGAGCTGCTTCGGATTCTGATGAATACCAAGGTAAAGCTTAGCAATTAGTAAATGATCAGTTCAAAACATAGCTTTTACATCTCTCAATTTCAGTTATTCTTTTGTAGCTGAATTTTGTAATCAGATAGCTGAATTTTGTAATCAGATAGCTGAATTTTGTAATCAGATATGAAATTTACACTGTCTAGAGGAATCAAGTTATATAGGCTTACCATACTTTACTCTTTTCTGCAATGTTTTGATATTTGTGTATTATTAGCATTGTTTTTTTCGATTGTAAAACTTAGAGAATCGGCTTAGTCATCTCTTGCTCTCACAATAGACAATACGCAGAGTGAGCTGGAAATTGAAATAAATACGACATTCATGACACTGGAGCCGGAGGGATGAAGATGAAAAACAGAGTTATGTGATCACAAAAAGCCCGAAAAGCGTCACAGAAAAAAGTCCTAGTACGAAATAAAAACAGGTCCTTAGGAAGTATCCAATACAGCTGTAAGTAGCAACATTGGCTCTTGCTTTAACGCTTCTTTGACACACCAACAGTCTTTCCTCTGCGACCAGTGGTCTTGGTGTGTTGTCCTCTGACACGGAGACCCCAGTAATGCCTCAGACCACGATGGTTTCTGTAAAATTTTCAAACATGGAAGAAAAAACATTATCACCATGTTCTATGCAATTGAGAATAAGAATCAGAATCATCTGTTGGTTTTGTATTTACCTGATCTTCTTGAGACGTTCAAGATCATCTCTCAGCTTCATGTCCAGTGCATTGGAGACAACTTGAGAATACTTGCCATCTTTGTAATCCTTCTGCCTGTTCAAGAACCAGTCTGGGATCTTGAACTGACGTGGGTTAGCAACGATTGTCATGAGGTTGTCAATCTCAGCAGCAGATAACTCACCAGCCCTGTAAAACAAGAACATCACGTAAGACAACCCATCCCCAACAAAGTGACACAGCACAACTGAAAAGGACTAAGAAAACTAGATTGGACCTCCAAACAACGTTTATATACTAATTATAGATGCTCAAACTAGCACACATGTGTGGCAAAGTACACAAAATAAGCCAAAATCCTATTTTGAATAAACATTTCACAGCGGGATACAAGGGAACTCAAACCGCATTCATATCAATATGAATAAACAGAAATCTCAAATTACTAAAATCTATGATCTAGGCAATACATGGAACAAGAGTAAGGAACTTTGAGCAAGCTAATAAACACTCAAGAATATATAGCAAACCATAACTCCTCTATATTTTCCTATCGATTATCAGTTCCACACGCTAACGAAAGGCAAACGTAGAAGAGTAAACAAAAGCTCAAACAAACCTTTTGTTCATGTCGACATCAGCCTTCTTGCAGACGATGTTAGCCAATCGCCTTCCAATACCTTTGATAGAGGTAAGGGCAAACATAATCTTCTGCTTACCATCAACATTTGTGTTCAACACACGAAGAATGTGCTGAAACTCCTCATTTGCAACCAGAGACTACACAACCATAACAAAATTCAATCACAAATCAGCAACTACACAGAAACTAAAACTACATAAAAACTATAACTTTCAAGAAATTAACACAACCTAAGATTGACTAAACTCAATGTAAATCTTATAAAAACACGAACTTTAGCTCTAGATTCATTGTTCAGAAAATGGATTTGAATCGAAGAGATGAATCTTAAAGGAGGGTTTTTTTTTTACTGCAGATCGATGGAATCGAGATTGTGGTTGTTGAAGAACATTTTAGAAGAGGGAAAGGAGAAATTCGAAAACCTTAATTACCATTTTGATTTGCAGAGATGAGATTTGTTAAAAGAAGAAGAAGCCGTCTTCAAGCAATAAACGATCTCTGGAGAGTGAAGAACACAAAAGAGGTCTGCTAGGGTTTTTCAATGATTTATATATATGACACATTCGTAGGGTTATTGTAATCCCAGAATCCGCAAAGACTATTTTACCCTTTATGAAGAATTATTTGTTACTCTTGTTATTTTTTTTTTTTTTTCGACTGAATAATTCATTAGATTAGCAACAGTTTGATACAACCAACCTCAAAAAAGGATCGAAAACAATCACCAAGAGATCGAAAACAAAAAGGTACAGCACTTAAGCTATACACATCTCTTCAGTGAAAATTTTATGAAGCCAAAAAGGGTAGCCCGAGGCTACGTATAATTGTCTTCGATGGCGATAAGGAACGCACCCATGTTAGCACATCTCTCTTCCGAGAATAATTTCCAACTATTTACCTGGCGCAGAGCAGAGGAGATTAGCTCTGAATGATATTTGAAGGAGGGCCATGCTGCTGGTCTGCAAACCGCATTCAAGAGATCCTTAGCTTCGAAATTTTTTATTAAAAAAAATATATGATTGCGGATAGAATACATAAATAATTAACCGAATTTTCTCCACGCGGCATTGCTCCGTCAGGCTCTCGATTCAATAGAAGTCCAACCAAAGAGGTGAATAGGGTCCGAACCGGAAGGTCAGAAAAAAGTGGCTTCTCATGCTCTCAATGGCCCATAACCAGACTTCAACCTCTGCATCTGTTTTGGAGATACAACTAGAGAAAGCTCTTCTACTGTGAAGCAATACCTTTCCCTCAGAATTCCTTAAAACCCAAGCCCCGCCAACAAGTCTCGTTTTCTTGTCCCAAGATGCAGCGAAGTTACATTTCAACCACGGTTTATCTGGAGGCTTCCAAGGCTTCTTGATCTGACCGTGAGTCATGACTCCTCTCACCTCTTCTTATTTTTCCACTTGTTGAGCTAGGAACCACTTAGCAGAATCCTCTCGGATCTTAGAGACCATTTCAGTTACTTGGAAAACCAATCCTTCAAACACTAGATTGTTGCGGTTTTTCCAAAGTAACCAAATGATCCAAGGGATAGATCTTCTAATGTCTTGATGAACAAGAGGATTCTTAGCAAGCATCAGTACAAAAAAGAAATTGTGGTAAAGAGAGTGACCTTCAAAGCCGTTCTCAGGCCTAGGGATCTCAGCCATAGCCCAAACTTGCCTAGCAAGTGTACACACAAAAAGGAGGTGATTAATTGATTCACCCTCCAAGCCACAAATCTGGCATCTCAAGTCTTTAGTAGTGCCTCTAGAGACTAGTTTCTCTGCAACCGGGATAGCGCCACTCATGGCTTTTCACATAAAAACCTTGACTTTAGTAGGTGCAAGAGTAGCCCAGATTTTCTCTTTGATAATATTCAGCGAAGGTTGAGCATTAGCTTCTTGAATGAGATCCAAGTTCTGAGATTGGGATGCCAGCCAATACCCCGACCTTACAAAATACTCTCCACTCTTATTATACATCCAACACATGAAATCAGGAGAGGAGACTACTGGTTTGATCTGCAAGATGAGTTCAATATCCCTGGGAAAAAATGCTCTTGAAGAAGAGATCTATTCCAGGTATTAGTAGTCGGGTCAATGAGGTCTTGAACAGTCAGCTCTAGATCAACCAAGATGTTTTTCAAAAGAGGCGCTCTTAATCTCCCATCCAAAATCCATTGACCAGTCCATACACTTGTGTTAGCTCCATCTCCAATGCATTGTTTCAATCCTTTTACCAATAGCTCTCTACCATGAAGAATACTTCGCCAAGCGAAGGAAGGTCTACTGCCCAAATTTGCCTGAAGGAACATATCCTCTGCAAAATAACGACTCTTGAAAAATCTAGAAAATAAGGAGTCAGGGCAGTGAAGTAATCTCAAGGCCTGTTTTGCCAACAAAGCTTGATTAAACACCTCTATGTCTTTAAAATCAAAACCACCTTGATCCTTTGGCAAACACATCTTGTTCCAAGCCACCCAATGAGTCTTCTTATGGTTTTCCATTGTGCTCCACCAAAAAGAGGACATTGCACTAGATAAGGCTGTACATGTGGATTTTGGCAATTTGAAACAAGACATGGCATAGACCGGCATAGCCATAGCAACCGCCTTAATGAGGATCTCCTTACCACCTTGGGATAAAGTTCGAGAAAACCAGCCCGACAGCTTAGACTTTAACCTCTCATGAATGTAAGCCAACATATCTTTTTTGGATCCACTAAAGCATTCCGGAAGATCTAAGTAAGTGCCAGCCCCACCTTCATTCTCAATTCCCAGCTTATTCTTGATCAAAGCCTTAACACCATCTTCAATCTTTGCAACAAAAGTAATTGAGGACTTTCCAAAGTTAATAGTTTGACCAGTAGCTTTCCCATAAACCTCCAAAATGCCTTGAATTGCAGAACATTGACTAAGCTGAGCTTTACATACAAACAAGGTGTCGTCCGCAAAGAGCAAATGGTGAATGGAGGGACCTAGCTCGGAGAACTGAATACCATTGATCCTTCCTTCCAATTCTGCTTTATTTAGGAGATGAGAGAGACCTTCGGTACAGAGAACAAAAAGGAATGGTGACAAAGGATCTCCTTGTCTTAAACCCCTTTGAGGCGTCACCAATCCAAAGGGCTGACCATTTATTAAGACAGTGTATGAAACCGTTGTAACACAAGTCATCACAATACTCACCCACTTCTCGTCAAACCCCAAAAGCAGAGAGCAAAGCTTGTAAATAACTCCATTCCACTCTATCAAACGCCTTGGACATATCGGTTTTTATAGCCATGTACTCCTTAGCCGTAGCCTCATGGGTCCTCAACCCGTGAACCACCTCATGTGCTATTAAAATGTTGTCAGAGATAAGCCTTTCAGCCACAAAAGCTGATTGGTTCGGAGAGACAATGTCTAACAGCAGGGGCTTGAGTCTTGAGACCATAATCTTAGAGATAATCTTATACATTACGGAGCAAAGACTAATCGGTCTCAAATCCACCATAGAGGAAGCTTTTACCTTCTTTGGAATGAGGTACAATTGTGTGAGATTCCATTCTTTCTGAAATATACCATGCTTGAAGAAAGTAATGATCTCCTCAGTGATTTGTTCACCCACAATATCCCAGTACTCTTGGAAAAAACATCCTGTCATCCCATCAGAACCAGGCGCGCTCGAGGGTTTGATAGAAAAAACTGCTGCTCTTACATCCTCCTTGGACACTTCAGCAAGAAGAGAATCATTCATAGCTGAGGTCACTTTAGGGATAAAATCTTGAAAGAATTGGAGGTCAGAATCTAGAGGATAAGAGGAAGAGAACAAATTCTGGAAGTATTTAGCTGCAATATCCCTTTTAGACGCCTCAGATTTGTGAGAAATCCCATTCTCATCAATCAGTTGCTCCAATTCATTTTTAGATCGCTCCGCCTTAA